TTAAAATTACAATAAGATACACACCTATTAGGTTGTCTGAAATGAAAGACTGACTTTACCAAGTGCTGGCAACAATGTGTAGTGAAGGAAAGCTCATACACTGCTGGTAGGGGTGTGAAAGGGAACAAATTAGAAAACAGGGCACCTGGGTGGCTCAGATGGTTAAGTGTCTGCCTTCGGCTCAGGTCGTGATCCCAGGGTCCTGGGATCGAGTCCCGCATCGGGCTCCCTGCTCCTTGGGAGCCTGCTTAATAAAATCTTTAAAAATATATATATGTATATATTAGAAAACAGTTTGAGTTTCTTTAAAAAAAAATATTCTTAGCAGGTAGATCTAACCATCCCACTCTTAGGTATTTACTGAAGAGAAATGAAAGCATATGTCTATACGAAGACTTGTACACAAATGTCTGTACCAACTTCATTTTTAAGAGCCCCCAAATGAAAATAACCCAGACGTCTATCAATAGGTAAATGTACAAACAAACTGTGGTGTAACCATACAATGGAATACTCAATAAGAAAAAGAATGGATTATTGATACATGCAACAACGGGGATGAATCTCCAAATAATTATGGTGAATGAAAGAAGCTGGACCAAAAAAAAAGGGTACATACTGTATTCCATTCCTATCCAATTCTAAAAAATGCAAACTAAATCTATAGCAACAGAAAGCAGAGCAGAGGTTGCCTGGAGATGAGGTGGGGTGCAGGGAAGTGTGGGAGAGAGGAATTATCAAGGCACACACGTTAACATTTTTGGGTGATCGATATGTTCATTATATTGACTGTGGTGATTATTTCACAGGTGTGCACGTGTTAAAACATGTACAACTGTACACTTCTGCAGTTTACTGTGTATCAATTTCCCTCCATAAAGCTGTTTAAAAAATTGTAACTGATTATATTGCAGATTCAAGGCAAACAAATTAAAAAATCTAGAGGAAACGGAGAATTTTCTAAGCAAATAATATATTACTAAAATTGACCCTCATTATAAATAGAAAGCCTAAACAGACCGGTTTTGTAGAAGAAACAGAAAAAGTTACCAAGGAACTATCCCACAGGAAAGCACCCAGTCCAGATGGCTTTACATCAGAATTCAACCTTCAAAGACCAGCTAATTCCAGTGCTCTATAAATTGTTCTACAGTATTAAAAATGAACAAAAATATAATTACTTTTATGATGCAATTAAAATGTTGAAACCTAAACCTGGAAAATATAGTACAAAAAAAAAAAGTAAGTTACAGACCAATTTCATATAAACATTGAAGAAAAATGTACTAAATAAAATATGAACAGTCAAACTCATTAACATATTAAGAAAAGAATACACCATGACTAAGCAGGACTTACTGCAGGAATGCAAGATTGGTTCAATATTAGAAAATCCTTTCACATAATACAAGATAATAATAAAATTAAGAAAAAAAACCCCATGATTTCTATAGATGCTATAAAGGCCTTTTACAGAATGCAGTCATTCTTTTTTTTTTAAGATTTTATTTGAGTGAGCGAGAGAGCACGAGTTGGGGGGGCAGAGGGAGAGGGAGCAGACTCCCCGATGAGCAGGGAGCCCGATGTAGGGCTCGATCCCAGGACCCTGGGATCATGACCTGAGCAGACGGCAGACGCTGAACTGACTGAGCTACCCAGGTACCCCAAATGCAGTCCATCTTCTAAAATGACTTTTTTTTTTCCCTCTGAGAGAGAAAGAGAGCACATATGGCGGGGAGGGGCAGAGGGAGAAGGACAGAGAGAATCTTAAGCTGGCTCCATGTCCAGCACTGAGCTCGACATGGGACTCCATCTCACCACGCTGAGATCATGATCTGAGTTGGAATCAAGAGTCGGATGCTTAATTGGCTGAGCCACCCAGGCACCCCCTGTAATACCTATTCAAAAAAATTTAGGAATATACAACAAATACACTCAGAGTTCTGAAATAATCACTGCAGAGTTTTAAAATCTATGTTTCCTATAGTTAGTGATCTCCTATAAATTACGTAAGCCTCATTATCTCTCATAGAGATTGGGCTATATTAACAACTTGCTGAAGAGCTTCTAAAGATTCTTTTTGCCTGTTTTAGAACTAGAAAGGATAGTAAGCAAGTTACTTAAAGTATTAGCCTTCACAACATTATGTGTTATCTGTAAGGGAAAATATCTCCATCATTATCTGTCAATAGGCTGTATGTTAATTATCTTTCACTATCTTAAAAAAAACAATCAAACCAAAGCTGGAAAATATATTTCTCTGAAGGACATTTACATGACCTTATGCTGGAGAACACAGAAGCAGTCTCAAATTTAGGAAAGTGTCCAACAAATTAATGATGTGGTTACTTTCATTGCATGTACTGAAACTTTATAAATGTGGTTTTTGTGTCCTGGGGTACAGACACAAACCTATTTAGCCCGTAAAGAAAATAAAATGTAACAATAGACAATAATCTACTCTTGTTGAATGAATTAAAGCTATAAGATTAGAGCAGGCCTGGGGAAAACATGTATGCACAGTCATCCAGGAGACAGTATCCCAAGTCCTGGGATGCAAGGAAGCAACTTATTTCAAAAGTCTTGGTTGCTTACATCTATAGACTCTAGAAAGCAAAAAAGAACTGCTGGCCTTTCCTTTTCTTGACCTGAGGCATTCGCTGAATGTTTTTACTCGCTAAATTGGGCAACTAAGAATACCCATTCCCCATATAACTCGCCCATTTACATTAATTATATTAATTTTCCAATACTGTGGAGATTCTGTTGTGGAGACTTGGTCTCTGTCCATTCAACTTCCCACGATCCTCTCATTTATAAGAACTTTTCTGATATGGATTCACTGATGTTTACCAAGATCCAACCACTGTCTGAAGACTTCCATACTCATCATACTGTCTGGATTTCCCTGTAGCATGAATTCTTCAATGCTGAATAAAGCTGGTGACTCCATGCAAAGCATTTCCACATTCATCATTTATAAGATTTCTCTCCTGTGTAGATTCTCTGGTGCACTGTCAATCCTGACTTGTGGGTGAAGGCATTCCTCTTTCCTCCACATAAGGTTTTCTAAGGCTTCTGTGCTGAATGAAGTCCTCCTCATAGTCATCACATCTCTGCAGTCTCTCGTTTATGTGATTCTCTGATGTAAAATGAGGCCACCATAACTGAAAGCTTTTCCACATTCCTTACACTGAGCATTTTTCCATGTGGTGGATCTCCTGGTGGGAAAGGAGGGACCCACTCTAAACAAAAGCCTTTCTAAACCTGTTCTCAAAGAGATTCTTCTCTTCGGCATCTGGACTCCCTAATGCTGAATAAGGACTCACCAGTGACTAAAACTTTTCCTACACTTATTGCGTAGGTGTTGAAGTTCTACAGAGATCCCACCACATGATTTGTAATCTTCAGAATTTTTTTTGTGTTGGAGACAAGTCCTTATTTTCATTCTCAGTAACACCACCTTAAAAAAAAAATGCACAGACATTTCAAATGTCGGTTGTCTCTTCTGCTGAGACTTAAGATGAAGAACAGTGATAAAAATAAAACCCAGTTTTACCTAAAGTGCATGCCTGTTCTATGTATCTAAACTGTCATCTCAATTTGGCAAAGTGCCCAAAAAGGCATGCAAGGTTCCAGCCTGAGTGAGAAGACACAGCTGGGCAGAAAGTTTGGAAGAACATGGAGGATTTTCTCACAAAATGTGACAAAGAATCAGGGAGGTATAATCAAAGAAGTTAAGAGGAGATAAGTTTGAATCCAGATATGAAAAATGGGAGTATCATGAAACCAAGAGAAATTTTAATTTGTTAGTGTGAGTTAAACGGACCATTTATGCCAACTGAAATGTACCCAGGCCACTACTATAGACAAGCAAAATGTTCCACAAATATTTATTGAGTCAATCAATGAACAGCGGTATATGATAAAAGTTAACTTGAAGCAACAGCTAGAACAGTTCAAAATATATACTGTTTTGATATGGAAAAACTAAATTGGGGAAAATAACTTTTCCAGGAACGTTCAGGACTAAAACACAGGAAGAAAGCTGCACTCTGAAGTTAAAGGAGTTGACAGGTCAAAACAATTCAAACAAAACCACTCACAAATATGGCTGAGAGTTTCTACCTCAAGAATCGGGCAGATAATGAGAAGGAGATGGGTGGGGGCAAGTTTTCAAGGGAAAGGACATTACTGAGAGTTCTAAAAAGCTTCAAGGATCTCATCTTTCTCTGCAGACACCCTTTCTCATCCGCTTTCCGTTTCAAAAGGCAATAATGCTCAAAGTCAAACTATGACCAGGGTCTTAACAGGCTGCACTTGAAACCCTGGATTCCAAAGTACTCTCTCTGCCATAAGCATTTCTTGTTCTATTCTTTAGCCTGTACCCTAAAGGCAATGGGATGAAGCTGGTCTTGGAAAACTGAATTTGAAGTCGCCCAAACAACAACAACCACCCAGTAACGAAAAACTTTCCAGTGGTGCACACGAATACCAAGGGGAATTAAAGCCCATGAGGGAGGTGCTGGGTTTTGGCTGCAGGGACATGTAGTGGATCCTAAAGTTCAGTTTTATTGCTTTCTCTGCTATTCCAGAAGACTTTCACTACTCAAGCCATAACATATGTGATTATCCCAACCCTTCCCACCTGATGGCTTTCCCTCCAAGCTGTCTCCAACTTCTCTAGCATAAGTGATGCCTCTTCTCCACATTCTGGATATTATCCCTGCCTGAGTCTGCAGCTTCCCAGCGAGGTGTCAGGACCTGCTTCAGCACCTGCTCCTTGGTCTGTTTCTGGTCTCAGCAAGTATGGGCAAAGCTCTGAGAGTCTTCTGACAGCCCTGGGAGGCCCAGGTAGCTATCTCCTGGTAGTAGCAACTTAAAGTCTGAAGGACTATCCATGACTTCTTTGCCAGCGTGGTCCCAGGCACGGCCCTCTCCCTCTGCCGTCAGTCACTGTTCGGGACCTTTCCGCAGGAGGACCGCCATTCTGGAATGAGAGCACTCAGGAGAAGATTCACGCCAGCCTGGGGTTCACAACGGTTTTTCAGAAGTATTTCCTTGTAGCTCGTCTTCTTCCTGGGGCACAAAAGAACACTGTTAACAGAAACTCTAATTTTTGTTCAGCTGTTTTACTCAAGAATTCACTACCCGGACAAGGCACTGAAAGAAAAAGGAACTCTGTCAGGAAGCTTTTAAAGTGAGTGGGAGGGACTTTGCAAATTACTAGCTAGCACCATGTGCTAAAATCTTTTACTTCCTAAATGTTTGTTAATAAAACTTGAAAGACCATGACCCTCTTCCCTTGGGTTCTCCCCTTCAAAGAATCCCGAAGAAACAGTAGAGAAAATAACATCAGAGATGAGAAAACAAGGACAGCTAATATTTATTTAAAAGTAACTACAGGGGCGCCTGGGTGGCTCAGTCGGTTGAGCGACTGCCTTCTGCTCAGGTCATGATCCTGGAGTCCCGGGATCGAGTCCCGCATCGGGCTCCCTGCTCGGC